AAAATTTGCATATGTAAATTTTATAGATCAAAGTTTGAAGGATCAATAGATTCCAAGTATTAAAAGCTGAGAAGGTTCATTATTATCGATATAAATTTTAAGTCTCGTGAAGAGATACTAACTTTCGTGATTTTTCTCTGACATTTTGAAGGTCCATAAGCCTAATAATATGATAGATATTCAACATTTTAACGTGTCAAAATTTTTGAAGGAGTAAATAAGATTAATGAGAAGACATTATACAAAGTATTTCGCTAAACTTGCATCAAAATTCCGGAGCTTCAACAAATTTTAGATCTGAGCTTTTCTTTCTCCTTTAAAGTTGAAAATAAAGCATAATGAGTCATGTTACTTGGTATATAAAATGTATCAACGAGTTTTATTCAGCTAAACTTTAATAATGTAATTATTTCATATAATTATTTCATGCGTATATTATTTCAGTTAAATTGTAATTCGGAAAACGATCAGTAACACTTTATTGAATTTAGACTAAAACCAAAAGAACTTCAATTACTTTCAGAATAATCCATTTCCCTATAATCCGTTTTTAGTTTCTAGCTTCACGTTTCATTATTTTAATTATATCGATATATTTATGTAATTATATCGATAATGATCGATAACGGAAGAAATGTCGATTCATCAATATTCATGAAAATTTGAAGCAGACTTAGCGAAGTACTCGATATATACTCGCAATGACGAGAAATCAATCTATTATCTAAACTTTCATCGTATCTTGCATTCAAAATGCAGCTTGTAATAAGCGCATTTTTTGCCGGTTGTGCAATTCTTTCTTCTTTCGTTACCTTCATCGTGATATAGCTTTACTACGTCGAAAAACTCGGTAATCATCTACATATCCACATTACTAACAATATCGTAGAGTCTGTGTCTATCAACTAAGAATCCAATATTGAAACTGTTTTATGTTTACGTTTTTATACTTGGCGTGGTCTTCCTGGCACCATAATGCACTTTTAAGAAATCTATATAAAAATATCGTGGAGTTGTCGTGTCCAGTGCGTTGAGTCGCGCGCGAAATAGGAATGCTCCTTGAATAAGGATGCCGAGATAAGATAAGAAACGGGGAGGGGAAGGATGAAGAAAGGAGAAAGAACTCCATGGAAAAACAATCCACAGAGAATTAGAAGTAAATGGAAGGAAGAAAGTGGAGTTCGATACTACTCGGATTGAAAACTTCATTCAGATAGAGAGGTCGAATAAGTGACCATTATATTTGCAAGATTCTCTTCGAACATTAAAAATACATTTTGTGAAAATAGACGGTCTTCTTTTTCAATCAAAAAATTAAAAAAAGAAATTAAAAAATTATATGTCAAATATTTTTCGATTTAACTCGAGATATTAATTACACAAGAAAGCTTTCAAATGAATCTTTTATTTGTACCTTTGAATAAATGATTCGATATCTTTTTCAGCGGAAAAAAAAATCGAGCAGATAAAAGATATAAGATTAAATAGAAACGTGATAAAAGTGTGTCGAGATGTCAAAATTTGTTTTTCAGGAAGAAAGAAGAATTTCTACAAATTCTTATATTATAAGTTAATACCATTGCCATGTAATAGCCATTAAAAAAAGATTGTTCGCAAATAAATTACTTTAATTTTTAATAAATTATTATTAAAATAATAAAATAAGAAAGAGTAATGGAATCATATTGTATAAAATATTATATCATTTATCAAATAAAATATCTGTCATTATTAAATAAGGAAAGCATTTTCATATATCTGAATAAATTAGCGATCTATTGAAGGTTAGAGTAAGTATTCTTATAATTACTGATTTATTTTTTTAAATTTTTTATTTCTTACTCACCTCTTTTATCTGGATGAAAAATTTGTTCAACTGTGAAAAAAGAAGGAGTAGAAGGAAAAGAGGAAAAAGAGGAAGAAAGAGAAAGAGGGATAGTATGAGAACGTTGTGAAAATTGTGTCTGTTTTGGTCCCGTTTCGCATTGCGATTAGCCGCGAAACTACGCTTTCGAAATGAAACGATGACGGACAAGACAAACCAGGTCCCAACTTTATCCGCGTTAATGAGCTTTTTCCGCGTGAGCTATTCCTTGTAAACGGCCGAAGATGAAGGTTGGCTCGACCGATCTTTCTCTTTTCCCTTCTGCAAAATTCATTGATAGACAATAAGATTAACATTAATTAAATTTGAGAATTTTACGTCGCATTTATTAGCAACTGAAGCAAATTAAACGGGACGAAGTAGAAATCAAATTATTTGATTGGACTGAGTCTCTTCTCGTAAACGTTCCTCAACGATTTTTAAAATTGTTTCTCTTTCAATTTGTATCTCTTTAAACACTCGATTTAAAAATGTATTTAATTTTACGAATAAATATACGCGCTAATTCTCTTGATACTGGTTTTTTTTCTGTAAATGATAAATTAATTTTTAGCAGCGTTCTATGTTCCAATTTCGAATGCTGAAGAGATGAGAGAGCCGCTCGAGCTCGCCTCGCAAAGCCCCGATAAATTTTCGGTTGTCGCCTGCGGTTGCGCTAGCAAAAGACACCGTCGTGCCGATACGTCGAGATCTGAACATCTTCGGGACAAATATCGCGTTGAAAAGAATAAACGCTGCAAAATACAGCAAACATTACGCACCGGAAGGGATACGAATCGCGTCACTCCCGATAAATCCAGATCTTGGCTCCAGGCTCTTCGGATCTCGGAATTGCGCGATCGTGAATTCGCGTCCGTGTCCCTCCCGGGACGTCTTTCTGGACACCATCAGTGCTTCTTCCAAACTTCCTTATTCAACGCTTCCCTTTTGCCGAGTAGACGATTCACGAGTTTTGTTGGTCGTTTCCAACGAGAGATAGAAAGAAAAATAGAGAGAAAAATAAATAGATGGATAAATATCCAGATAGCATGGAACGTTCCTGTAATATTAAACCTTATAATGTTGCTACAATATTATTGGAATGTTCTATGCTATCTAAGTGGATGAAGAGAAAGAAAGTCAGAAAGATAAATAAATAAACAAATAAAGCGTTTATTGTTCTAGGACTTCTAGGGCAAGTTCTTTAAAAATATACAGATAAATTCGAAAGAAACGTAAGGAAATAAATAAAAATAAAAAAGTTTTATTTATCAAGCGCTCTAAGTTATCATTCTTTGAAGCGCTAAACATTTCAATTAATAAGACATAAAAGAATATATATATATATAACAATAAAACAAATTGAAAATAAAAAAAGAATATATATAAAAATTAAAAAGTATGTATTATAATAAAAAGAAATAACGTAACATGTGTGAATGAAGTAATGTTAAATGTGATATAGTATATATATGTACAAAATTACTATAAATAAATAAGGAAATATAATAATAAGAGAGAGAGAGAGAGAGAGAGAGAGAGAGAGAGTGTGTGTGTGTGTGTGTGTGTGTGTGTGTCGCAGAAGTATTAACAGCGACAATTATGAGAAAAGCGATAGCTACGGTGCTCTCGCATAATCTACATTATTTTTCATATACGTGAGCGATAAATTAATACAAGCGTATTTGAACGCGGCAACAATTAGCAACGGTGAAGAAGGAAGCCTGGCGAACACTTCCGAACGAGAAATCGTTGGCAAATAATTAGTTTCCCCCATTGTTCTGATCGATCCTTTTAGTTAAGCCTATCCCTTCGTGTCGCGCCAACTCCGCGCGGTCGCGGTTTCATTGTAAAAAATCTTCAATACCCTTTCCCCTGCCCTCCCCCCTCCCTTCAGTGGAAACGTAGCCGTCTTTTTTGTACCCGTGCGCCATGTACAAGTATACATCTAACAATATAATATTCTATATAACCTACGGACGTTAAAGCGAATAAGATCACTTGCATTCTCTCTATGTATATTTTCTAAACACCTTTCGGATTTTTCTCGCCGGCCCTTAAAGCGCGTCATCAGGCGCCGTCCTAAGGAACAGGATATACGGAACTCAGACGTAAGAACGCGTCACTTTGCACGAATGAGTCTATTTGTTGTCAAATTTAGACATTTTGCCGACGCAGGCAGACCGGGAAGGATGGAGTTTCCGATGAAAAAAATAATAGAGAGGAAAAGGAATGTATACGCGCGTGCGACAATGTAGTTGAAGGCAATTCACGGGTTAAATAAAATCGGTATCACATGCCCGGCTATTTAGACAAGTCCGTCTTCTTTTTTCCATTTAAGCGCGACTCGACCCGCGATCTCCGTTCTTATTTAAATGCAAACAGAGCGCAACTCGCGAGTTCGACGAACCGTTCAAATATTAGAAATTGTGATTTGCGCAGGCCGGCAGCCTTTCGCCCGAAATCGAATATTTGAGGACGTTATATTGCCTCGGGCTAAGAACCGTTCAATTTCCAGTTTAGTTCTAGTTAGCTCTAGACATGAAGTACGAATACAACCCTTTAATGACAACCCTTTAAGCGTATTTACCGTCAGGGGGAGAGTAGGGGGAGGGAAGGCAAATGGACGGTTTTACCTTAAGCGCGAGGCTTTAAGAGCCAGCTTGGGTTATCTTCGGGCCAGTTCTTGTCCGCACACGCGCTTCCTGTATACGTTATACCTGTTCGCGCTTCACGAGGTATACAGAGATACAAGGTTGAGTTTTCTGTGTGTCGAATGTACATTTAATTATTAAGAAAACAGTTATTCAGGCACGCAAGTTGGGCAGGGGAGCAGCGCGCAGCCAATGGAAGAAGCCGCGCGTACCCCAGGGATTCCCTCCTTCGCTGTATGTTCGGAATCGCTCGGTTGAACAAATCGATCATACGGATTTTCTTGTTTTTTTCCGACCATCCTCAATTTTCACGATCTTCTTTTCTTGATCGCATACTCTTACCCAAAATTGGCGAGTGAAAGTGTCGGGGTTGGAAGGGATCGACAAAAGTAGGCGATCAAAAGAGTCGAGAGACGACGCGATCCTTTGCGGAAAATAGGAAAATCAGATAATTGAAGAGTCTGATGCGCGAAGAGAACGAGCACGCACAATTGTTACACGTCCAATTTCTGAATTTAAATTCTCTTACGATCGCTCGTCATTTTAATTGGATCTTTGGTCGACTTTTTGAGGAGGGGCTCGAAGGTACGCGCGGAACGCAAGAAGGCCCATCGTTAGACGAGTTTCGCACGCGGAAACAAATGGCCGTGTCCGACCGACCCGGCTGATGCAGAACTCCCGCTTAGTGCGGTGTATCCTCGACAATCACATGTATATTTGTAGGTTGTGGTTTGTGTAAAAACGAATTGCGAATCTTAACAATGTTGTTCCGAAACTTTTGCTCTGCGACGATTAAGAGACTTTTACTTTGAAATTTACAAAAGAATTACCACTCGTGAGGAGGATGACGCGTGGTGCAGTGAAAAATTTGTATGGCGAACTAATTTACAAATCTGCTTGAGGAATTCGTTAGATAGATAGATAGCACGATTGGTAGCCTTCCTTTAGAGATCCTCGAGTATGAGATTGGACCGTTCTGAATATGGCGGATTAAATACTTAAGGTAGAATGAGATAGACATTTATCTCATATACCACCCTAAATATGGTAGAGAGAGAGACTAATCAAAAGTTGTCTAAACGATGTTCAATCTCTTACTTAAGAATCTCTATCCTCTTCGTGGCAATTGTTTTCAAACTAGAAGCGAGCTTATATTATTGAAGCCACTTCTCCTGAAATGCTAATTGCCTGGCAAAAGTACCAACGAGAGTTCATGCGAATGATCATCGATTAAATTCGGCAATTAAATGCGGATTACAGCGGACCGTCAAGTAGCTAACGCGGACAAGGATACGCTGCTCTAGACGAGAGTTCTCAGATTCGTTTGTGCGAAGAGCAAGCCTGCAGCCAATCGTAGCGCGATCATATCCCCGGTAATATACTGTATCAATTGTGATCCAGCCGGCAAGGCGTCGGCACCGATCGACAATCCTTGGGCACGGCCGCGAGGCGTGATCGCGCGCAAAACCGGCGAGGGGCCTTAGTACGAGTGCTGCGGCTGCAGAGACGAGACTCAGCTGTGCGCCGACGTATCCGAGCCTTGGCTGTTGCCTAGCCCACCCATGCCGGCCTGCGAAGTGAGCCTGGTGGCCGACTGTGATGTCGTGGTCACCGTGGCGGAGTGACTGAGACCATGATGCCTGCCGGTTTCTGGCACCAGGTGGGGCGTACGGCTGGAGACGGGCGGTAAGACCGGGCTGACCGGCCATGGGTGCAGGGACATAGTGCTGGGCGCGCTGGGCACGCTGCGCGAATGCGGCAGCAAAGGTGAGTTGGAGAGACTGGCGAGGGGGTGGGGCGAGGCGGGCCCGCGTATTTCAACCAGGTATCCGGGTGGAGGAAGTTACGCCGTTGCTCCATCCGCTCGGCGTGCTGCGCCAAACAGCGGGTCAGTTCCTCGGGCAATAGCTCCAGCTGGCCCTGCAATGAGGTCAGCTTCTCCTCTAGGCCGACCAAACGGTCCTCCAGACCCACTAGACGCTCCTCCACCGCGTCCTGCCGCGTGCTCATATCCGAGACGATCTCGTAGACGGTGTTTTGTGTCTATCATGGACAAGACAATGTGTTAAGTACGTCAAGAAACTTACTTGTATCCAGATTCTGTCATTTTTAACGATTCGGTATTGTGTTATACTTATTGCGCGAGGACAATATAACTTTTTACATACTTACTTCTTGACATTGTCTTCAAAAGTAACAGAATTGGGGTATTGGATGATGTAGAACAACGTTGCGTTCAATCATAAATCGGTTATTTTACATAACTATCGTGAAAACTAACTTCCTCTTCTAAGTAATTACGAATAAATAATAAAGATATTATTGAGTCTGTAGAACTAAATTTTTTTGCGACAAAAATGAGAATAATTGATAAAATCCTGATTTGAAGATTAGTTGTTCTATCTAAGCAGCCACGGAAGCTTTGAAATGTAATCCTCTCTGTACGCTGCTGCAATATTTCATCGAGCTTTACGAGAGGATGCAGGTTTCCCTTGTTAACACATAATCTCACCTTGGCCATGTCCGTTATAGTGTTGGCGTTGTCCATCAATTTACGCTGATCCATTTTCACCTTTCTGAGTCTGAAATTTCGAGGTAGTTACGAGACAGGGTATGATTACGCACTGGCCTAACTATGGTGACCTGACGGCCCGGAGTGATATCGACTTACGCGTATATGGCCAACAGGAATTTCCGCTGATGGGTCCTCACGCGTCCGGGATTGACGCGTTTCACCAAGCGGGTGTGCTTGTAAATCAGCCACGTTTCCCGCAACACGTTCGCCGCGGCGTTCTTTAACTGTAACAGAGCAAACGTTTATTGTCACTCAAAGCTCCCTTCAACACTGAACCTTCCGTCAGTATCTAACAAAGTCTCTGGTATCATATCAATATTGTATTGGAAATATATTCTCACCGCTCTTAAGGTTTTAAAAAGTTTTTCAAGGTTTCCATCTTAGACAATGAAGAGATCATTTATTACGTCCTCAGGGTTACATAATTTTATTTATAGGCTAAAAGAATGCCTGCTGTAGGATATATTTATATATGTGCTTTCTCAGTTCGAAAAAGAATTATTCAAACTATATTCGCTGAGTAAACATTATGTTATAGCAATAATTGCATAGCTCGTTAACTATGACATTCAATGTCACGGTCAATTATTCCTTTCAGAATCTTGAGGAGGATTGTCTCAATAAATAATTAAAGCCCCATTGGGAACATATGTTCTATATGCGTATTTTGGCCTCGTATGAATGTCAATTAAAATGAAAAAAATTGCAAGATCACGTTTCTCTCTTGTTAATTACATACTGTCAAGTATATTGTCAAGGAAAAAGAGCATTACGCTCGTTATACAAATCTTACATGGCCCAGAGAAAAAAAGTGATCCGAGAGGACTGACGTTTGTTTTGTTGCCGCGCTGATGGGATCAGATCGATTCCGCTTATGCAATGACGTGAAAAAAAAGCGATATGCGTTTGAGGGTTAAAACAGCGTAAAAAGACCGTCGATACAGTCACGTGTATAGCTCTACGTTACCACTCCTTGATATTTGCAAAGTTTATAAATAAACGCTGGCTAATAATTATTTCAGTAGCCGTATGGTTGAAGGCTTCGATCCGGAGGTGGAGAGAAGCGGTCGTACTTATGCAACCACACGTTCACGTCGTGCGGAACGTGCGATCAATCTAAATCATAAATGGAATATTTCGAGTTACGGTTTCAATTAAAGCGGTTCGTCGGAATATTACAAAAAAAAAAAATATTTTTAGACGTGCCTTTTTATTTCTGAATAATTTCGAAATATTTCTAAATAAAGTCTGTCTGCCTTCGCGTGCGGTAGGATTGCAAATCGCTGCATTAACTCTTTACTTCTGACATCAGCCGATCGATTATGTCACGATCTGCGGAACATGTACAACGAGTTGTCAAGAGTCTCCTCGTAGAGAAACTAACGATGAAAATGTCCATTTTTCCAGCTCCTGCGTTGTTCTTCGAATTCTAAATTAGTGCTGAATTTCCCAAGTGACTTGTGGGTTCATTGATTTTGTTTTTGTCCTTAAAACTGAATTGCCATTAAGAACGTAACTTCCAAATCTCGTGTCCCAAAGCGCTTGAAACTGCAAGTTTTTGTCCTAGCTCCTAATATTCACTATTTAACTCCCAATTGCAGACGGCCGACTTTTCAACTTATAATTTAAGTTCAATGAAACACGCCGGTGAATTATGATGTCTATTATTATTATAAAGTGTCCCAGAAATGGCAAAATTTTCCGTGCGATATATGTATATCAGAAAGCGAGTTTTGCAGCAAACGTTTTATTATCGTGACTTCCTTCAAGCCACCTTTTTATTTATTTAGAAGTTTGTTAAGATTAAATCGATCGATGTCATGTTCTTTTCGTGATCATGAAAGTTAAAATGACACATTAAGTAGTCGATTGTTCATCCCAATATAGTCAATACCATTTTGTATTTTGTTCAAAAATCAATTGTTAAAATTTTTGTGCTAAATTTTTAACATATCCGCGAGTTAATTTAATGCGATTGTGTTATTTGAATCTTTGATGTTGAATTAATATTCAATATTTCTCTGTCATAATGTTAAGAATAACACAATTTATAAATAATTGAGCAAATTATATAAAAATAATGTTAAAAAATGTAAATTTTAAGATAAATGAATAAAATATGCTTATTTAACATATTATAAATGTTAATTTTATTGAAATGTATTAATTTTACTAAAACATATTAACATATTGTAAATGTTTATTAATTCATTTTTTTATTAAAAGAATATATTTTCACAATTTGATTACAAAATTTATATTATATTTTTGTGATAATTTTTATATAATGCTTGTATTGCTTTCTAATATATTCAAATTGTGTTAAATAAACAGAAATTTAGATAGATTGTTTAGAATACGTCAAATATGTTAAATTTAAAACAAATTTTCTAACTACGAGAGAAATGTCGCATTTATTTATCTGAATGGACAATTCGATAATACTCTTCACGTGTTTACGACACGCATTTTGTTTGACTCGTTTAATATAAAAAAATTGTGAAAAATGTTCAAGTATTTAAGTTTCTCGAATTTAAACTTCTCAATTCGAAATTCTTACAGTTGTTATATTTCTAAACTCTACCTCATGGATTTTCTGTAGTTCTCAAACTTTTCTTTCGCACATTTTTATTGTTCTCATCACATTTTGAATTTCTTTCTTCGAGATTAAATATCCAAATTTTCGAGATTATTAGGTGGCATTTTTAGATTTTTGGATTCGCATTCTCTCAGATTCTTAGAATTCGTCCTTTTCGCTGTTTCTCTTCTTAGAATTCTGACATCCGTCGTCGCGGACTTTTAATATTATCTATCTCTCTACCGCCATATAAAAATTAAGAATTCAGATTAGCAATGAAGGGAAAGTTCTGCCTAAAGGTCAAACCGACTTCATGTAGTCTGCTTATTTCCGAGACAACCTTACTCGCAGTGGGATACTTTCTTATTACGTGCCAGAAAATTACGTCACACTATATATACATAGAGAGTGATATCCATCATGCTCTCATTACGTGCTTAATTCGCTTTCCTGATTCTTGCGGAATACTCTCAGCGAGTGTAATTTCGAAACCACCTTTGCAATTACGTCTATTACTGCTACTGTTCTCTTTGTTTAAGAAATTTTATACCATCTTTAGTTGAAAGCCAAGCATTACCTCTATCATCATTAGAGACTTTTTACCGTAAAAATCAAAACGTTAAAAACTTTGAGAATTTTGCAATTTAAATTTAAATACAAATAATAAGTAAATTGAGAAATTTTTAAAATTTCGCGAGCGTTAATGAGTTCATTAATTACTCATCTCAATAATGGCCAAAAGATGATTTGATATAACTACTTCTTTTATTACTATTTGTCGTCTTACTTTGGAAACTTATTTACTATATATATCATTAAAATTTGGCTCCCTTAATTCAGAAACTTGCGCTGGATATACAAGAACATCGCATAGTTAATTGTTACAATACAGAAAAGTAATTTAAATATTTTTGTAAAATTTCTAGCTTAATCTTCTGTATTTAAACAAGGATAGTTATTTGAACAAAAAGAAAAGTTACTTTACATCATCCCACTATATTATTTACATGAATTCTGTTTAATTCTTTGTATTTTGAATTACTTTTTTTTAACCAAATTGATTTAACGATGATAAGAGTACATAATATTATTACTTCACGAAAAGTTTTGCAAAACCTGCGATAACAAGTCTGCAAATCAAAAACTGAAAATCGATTTTTCTGAAAATATTTAAGCTACATTTTACGAGCTAAATGAATGTTTAAACAAAAAGTTTCAAGCAAAAGAGCAGGCATATATCTCTTCATTATATCGGTCGATACAAAAGTGGTACGTACTATTGTAAAGCTATTATAGATTAGTATAGACTAATATGAGACTAGAATACCAGTTCTCTTTATAAATTCCAAGTACTTTCTTTGTTCGATCCGACTATTTGCTAATCTTTTACAATCGTCTTTTTCCAACGTATACTTTACGATCAATAATTTTAGATCAGAGTATTTCTGTTGTATTAGGAGTCTGTTATATTATTTATTATTTTACATTCGTTAATTGTTGTGTAAGTGTTGCGAGCGTTTCATCGCGGCAACGTAACTTCCTTTTCTCTGTATTACTATAACCGCAAAGCGGTTTTACTATTAACACAAAGGTCTTACGATGCAATGGCTAGGACGGAACGCCACAGACAATGGCCTTACCCTTTTCGTTAATTGTGTGTCCATCATAAAGTTGTGCACGTGCTTCTCCGCCCGCGTAAGCTCGAGCTTCCTGGAGACGACTGCCACCAGCAAAGCGGTGCACCCCGCGCCCTGAAATTTCGGGAAAATGCAATTTCTCGTGAGCTTCTCTTTCACATAAAATTTGTAGATCCTGAAACTTCCACTTTCCGTGCACTTCTTTTAAGAACCTTAAATATATACGTTCGTTTTCCGGGAGAATCTTTTTCTGATCCCTCAATCCTTCAAGCTAGTCTCAAGTTGAATGTAATGAAAAAAATCGTTTTGTTTTATTCAAGATATGTTCTAATAGCGACAGCTTCTTACGGTCCTTCGTAGGTTCTTTAATATCTTTGGAAGGTCTCCCCTTCGAGAGTTCGAAAGTAAGAAGTAATCAAACTTAAGAAATCTGATCAAAAGAATATGGTGAGTGAACAAATGCGTATGCCATTGAGCTAAAAATTAAGGTCGCCGATAAAAAGAATTTTCGAAGACAGTCCAAGACCTATAAAAAATCGTAACGATTTCCTTGCAAATTGTAAAATAGAATAAGCGAAAAAAAGAGAAAAAAAAGAATCGTTTTAGTTATTAGTTGACTCAATGCGATATTTCGATTTGTACAATATTTAGTATAATGAAAAAAATATTATGATTAATCCAACAAAAAGACCCAATCAGAATGGCATTTTGATAAGATTAAACAGAATTTTTCGTCTCGCTAAAATGCTATTCTAGTTGTACCTTTTCGTTAGTTTAACGAGAATATTTTTCCCGCATGCGGAAAAAATTTTTGATATTTGTGAATCTAATTGCATGGCTTATAAAATTATAATTGCTTTGGGAAACATATATTTTCTTTTGGCACATAGAACATAATTATTCTTACTAATTAAACATAATTATTATTACTAATATTACAGCAATAATAATTACAAAAATGGAACTCCTAACCATGCAATTGTAGTCACAAATACTAAAAATTGTTCTCTCAATGTCAATATAATTGAGAGAAAAGTTTTTGAAAAGAAAAATTTCAAATAATAATTTTTATCATAATAGAGTTAATTAATTAAATTGATTTTTATTAGGTAAAATCTGTCTGATTAATCACTAAATTATCTGTTCAATTGTAAGGAAACGACGCGATTAGAGAGAATTGTTTTTTATTTGCTGCTTGCAACTAATAGCAAAATTACACTAAGTGCAGAGTAATTTCACAGAATTTACGAGATGCATTTACAACATTATATACTCTAATATAGACAAATTATTTGTATTTGTAACTAACTGTAACTGTAATTACATGTTACTATAATTATAATTGTTGTTGCTGTAATGTTAGTAATAATAACTGTATAATGTAGAGTTCTATCAATAAATATATGTTTGACAATCAAAACTATATACTGAAAGAAAAGATTGGTTGAATATAACATAACATTTTTAATTGGCTGCAGCAACCTGCCAGTCTTTTCTTTTATCATTATATAAAAATGCAGTTACCTTTCTCATGAAAGGGGTTTCGGAACGTATTGTAAATTATGTTCGTGGCTGAATTTCCGGAAACAACTTGAAAAGCGGAAGTTTCCGAGGAATTAGCTCGTGTTGTTGGAACTAGCGCTGGTCAAAGCTTGGCGCTAACCACGAGTGCTAACGGATTAGTGGGGAGCGGCTGGATGGAACAAGATTGGGAAGGAAGCGATGGATAAGGGATAATGGATAGGGAAGTGTGATAATATAATAAGGAACGGCTCGGGCGTTCTCCGAGGGAGCGAATGGACGTGGCGTTTATTGCGTCTTTAAGCAATGCCTTTAATTACTAGCGGTTACTGTGCGATCGTAAACTCGAAAGCGCCGAAACCTGATGGCGGTGCACAAATCACGGACAAGCGATCTACAACGCGGACCGGCACACGAGCGAGATCGATCGATTGTCCACTCAGTAGAGTGACGCTCATTACGCTTGTCCAGCAGTAATGAAGCTTGGAGCTTAATGCACGAGTTACATCGGGTTACATGCCTGCGGAGTCGCGCGTCTCAACTCGGTTGCGGTCGCGTATATTGTGCCCCGGTAGTTTGTGGTAACTACGGTAAGGATTAATGACCGGTGTAATCGACAATATGGCGCGCGTAATCCAACAATCGTAATTTTCGACGTCCTTATCAAAACAATTTTGTTAAGACAAGTCGCGCGTTTAAGCACTGAGAGAAAAATGTGTAGTATTTGTGATTATAATTGAACAATAAAATAAATAATACTTTTATTGTTATTTTTATAATCATTTTACTGCAATAATAATAACTTCATATTTATAGTTCTATTAAAAAATTATTGTATATTATCATGATGATTTCAAATTTAATATAGTAAAATATCAAGATATGAAATAAATAAAACAAATATTTTTATGTATTAAGTGCAATCACTTTAGTGAATATAATTGTTTGTTTAACATGTGCTTGCAATTTATGTAAATAACAACTAAAAAATGTATAAAAGAAAAATAAAGAACAATTATTTTCACAATATATTGTATGATTATGTAGAACCACTATATAGTTAAATTATGATAATTGCAATCATTTTTTTCTCTCAACAAAGAAATCCAAATATCTTCTTTTTTTTCATTTAAGAAAATAATTTTAATTAAAATAAAAATATACAATTACTTTTGAGTTAAATCTTTCTTGTAACAGCATTACATTTCTCTCGCGAATCGTCATTGTACGTTTGACAGAAGATGCTTTATCAACGTTACCGCGTCTCTATTACAGGATCAACGTCGCAAGTAATGCATTAAATAATCGATAAGAATTTGCAAGAACGATAAGAATCTTGATTTGTATAAGCTAAGTTTATGTTCTGCATTATTCTCATCCTTACCATCATTCCGGTGGAGACGGCTATACCTCGACCGCAGTATGTATTGGGCACGATGTCACCGAAACCGACACTCAGGAACGTGATGGCGATGAGCCACATGGCGTTGAGGAGATTTGCATGTTCCTCATCGTGGAATCTGCGGTAGCAAAGTGACAGACGCATTACTTTAATTAATTGATGAAGCGTGCGTGCGAAGATGAATGTCTTGATATCTTACGTTTCTTAAACTCTTAGATTCTACGAATTGAATATTTCAGACCTTAAGATACTCGAAACTTCAAGACTTTAGATTTCTAAAAGGATTAAAAATTATAGATACTCTATTCAGAAACAGATAATCTCTTTTCGAACTATCCTTAAGAGGATATCAAGAATAATTAGATTCAGAGCACCGTGTAATGATTCCTTTCATGCGCTTTAATTGATATTAAATTGTGGGAAACAGTCATTTCAAGATATCTGTTTTAATGTTCGCGATATTAGAAAGACATTACGGTTTAAATTATCGAATTCCTCGATTCCTCTTTTTATTGGCGACTCGATACGTCCGTTTTGTCGTAACCGGTGTTTAATCTTCACCGGAGGGCTGAGCGACCGCTCTAGGATGGGCTAATGCAGAATGAAAGACAACATTATGCCCCCCACGAGATTCATTATCGGGCGCAAAGAGGATTGAGATGACAATGCGAGTGACGTGCCAGGCTGTAATCCAACGTCGTAAAGCTTTAACGGCTTTAACGGCCTCGTTACACGGTTGATGTTACATGATTTCTCCTTTGACTGGTAAAACCATCTTTTAGAGCTCATTAAGAGTTCCGGCTTTTGATATCTCGGTCGGTTGATTATTTCGGCTTCACCGGACAACAAATTGTAATCACGAAAAATCCTAACCAAGGCTACATCTCTATTGATTGTTGTCGGTGTCATTATGTGTTGTTGCACAGCTTTTTCACCATACAAAATATCTTCAACGATATATAATGCCACCGACACCTATCGATAGACGTATACAAAATAGATACTCCAGATACCAAGCTGACGTTACTCGTCATTTTGATATCAAAAGGACATTAAAGACCTTATTTTCATGTCAAAATAACGTCAGCTGCTACCTGGAAAGATGATATATATATATATATATATATATATATATATATATATATATATATAAAGAATCGTATATTCTTCACTAAGGGAAAAATTTTGTAAATTACTGCTATAATATAAGTAATAATAACTATGTATATGATAGTTTATCAACAAATATATTGTTGACAACCAAAAATGAATTGCATTACCCATTTTTCTCCGCTTGTAGCAGCATTTTTCATGTTAAATATTAATTTGTAATAGAACACAGCACTTATAACCCATTCATACAATAAAAATTTTTGCACTTGTAACGTTTTGCGATGACACACTTCAATTAATATTATTAATTAACATAAATTAAATGGATCTTACAGATCTAATATCAGTAACTGTATTACAGATTTTGGTTTTAGCTTCGGAAGATTAATATTTTTAAATCGTAGCGCAATCACATTTTACTATTGTAACAAAAATTAATGACAAAAAAGAAAATCTTTTCAATGAGATTAACTTGTGTAACGAACTTCCACTCCCACTTGGTTCCGATAAAATTGATGACTTGCGCTTAATGTAACGAACGGTCCATTCCATAGAAACCCCATGAAACGGATTATTCTCGTAGTAACGCTGATTGTATGACTGATTGTTAACCGCGTGCCGTGAAAATCGCTTTATTGTCCTGGAAATTTGTGCGGCCATGTGCAGATGCACACTGAATAAAATATCATTCGTATTTCGTGACAATTTCCGGTCCCATAATCCGAGAGTAAAATTGGCCGCGGGGCCCGCACAATGCATACGTTGATGTGAGAGCAAAATTATCAAATTGATTTTTTAATTTTGAATTTAGATGCAAATACGCGACCGCAAATTCGATAATCTCGAACCGCACGCGTTAATTGAATAATACAACTTCGCTGATCGATATCATACACGATGATTTATTTTGTAAAATGGATTCGGAAATATTAATTTATTTTTGTTAAATAAACATTCTATACGCAGTTTACGAGAAAACTGATAGCAGCGGAAATTCATAATAATGATTGATAATGATAATCATGAAGCATAATTTATTACTATATGATGCACTGAAAATCATGACATTAAACTTTATTAAATACCGCCAACAACGTTTACAAAATAGAGATTTAAATAAATTTAATACAACTATTACTATAATGTTTCACATGATATATGTTTGAATTGACAGTAATGGAAATTGATAATGTTTTGCCATAGCATAATTTATAATTCGTAACATCATAATTTGTAATATTAAACATTGGCTAAAATATCGTTAATAAGTTACTAACAAAATGGACATTTAAAAAAAATTACGATTATTGAAAAAAAATTCTATTACAGAGATATTTTTTATCTTCATGTACGCGTCGTATTTACATAATAAAATAAAAATATAAAATTATCAGAATAAACATTGAATAAAAATTGAAATTCCTTTCGTAAATACCGTTTCATTTGCTGAAACACGAGGTATTGCGATGTTCGAGATATTCTCGTATTCATTTAGCATACGTCGGAAATTTATCGGAAAGCTGAATGTTCCTAGCATTATCGAGCGTATTATCATAATCGACTATCGAATAAAGGTGGAGGGCGATAAATCAAATATGCCGTTTCCGAAGATTGCCTACGAACAACAATGAAACAGCCAGTCGACATTATTACGGTTTAAAACCGTTCATTCTGTATCGAAGATGCAGAATGCTAGAAGCAGCCAGTAACATGTCGACACATATTTCACCAACTGATAAATATTTCAGTTAAGGACGTGGGTGGAAAACTCCCATTATCCATTAAGAAGAAGCGAGTGGGTTTTAGAAGACGGCAGGTAAGAAGGATCCTTTTTCTCCGAGGTATACATGGCTGTAGGGATCAATGGCAGACACCTTATATCGTCTGGGTGAAGATTGATTATTCTTGAAATCGGCGCAACTATTTACGGCAAGAATTTAATTATCAGTCAGTCTCCGAGATCCGCTAAATCTCCGCGATCGCCAGCCAGCGACCCCAATCGGGAATTCCGACCCGCTTTGGCGGAAGGATGCACTGAGATTTATTATTACGGCGCGGTAGAGCGACGGACGGACGCGCCATTAGCTCGTAGATCAATCATCGTACGCAAATGAGTCACAACCATAGAGCTGTGTATGATTCCGAAATGCACGTGTCACTGCTCTTCCTCCCTTCGAATAATGGATCGCGTGGATAAAACGAAATCTGTTGCCATCGCTAACAGCTTCAGTTGCTATATCGTGTAAAGAACGTGAAGAAATATCTTCTTACTAAAGAATTTACATAGAAAAATGTTTAGTACTTGGGATTGTAATTGCATTGAAAAAATAATTATGATTAGGAGCTTCATTTTTAAGTTATTATTGCTATAATGTTAATAATTAGAGTAATAATTAGATATATATATATAGAAAGAGTATCAAGCTGCTCCTCGCCCTGATGAAGTGGACTGCAAGGTTCATGAAACGTTGGCATTCCAAGAATGGATCTGGACACGGAGGAAACCCGCGAAATCCGCATAATCTTTATAGAAAGCATCCATGAAAGCCTCAAGAATATTAGATGTAGAGTGATGTGATATAGAGTTATATGTATTGAAAAATATATATAAGAATTAATAACTATGAAAATGTCTATGATTGTTTATAGTCGTTTTTGGTGGCAATTATATATTTTTATATATATATATAAAACTATAGATATATTATATAAATATAGATATATTTATTACTACTATAGATATAATATGTATTGTTATAATTATTATTACTATTATGTAGCAATAATATATATATATATATTATTGCTGCATAATAGTAGTAATAACTATAACAATAAAGCTCTTAATTATTTTACCATATAATTATACATGTAAGTTAAAAATATTAAACACTTTTCTCTTAATGCAACACTAAAAGCAGAAAATAGCGACTATGTTTTGATTAATATATCTGGTAAATACAAAAAAAGTAATTGAGCTACAAGTTTTGTTCATTTGAAATTTTCACGATAAAACAATATTTATTCACGTATTTATTTGAAACTGTAGAGTTAAACAAATATTTATTTATAAATGTTCTATAAATAATTTAGCGAGTATTCGTATATAAATTCAAATAAAATGTGAATTAAAAAAAAGCTCTAATAAGCAACTTTTTCTCCTTAATAATAAACTAATGATCTGTAGTAAGTAAATATTTGGCTTTAGTGACAGAAAATAATTTACTTTACTGTTTTCATACTAAATTTTGTCATCAGCTTTACTTTTATTTCCCTACTTAAAATTTGAATTCGAATATAGAATAATAAAGATGTTTACCCTACTCTTAACAAGGTCGTCAGAAACTATTTGTCAGAAACTATCAGCTTCTGACGACAAACGCACCTATAAAACCTGTATTTTCTTATGTCTTGACTTATAAGCAAATGTAATTACTTAATTGCTTATACAGTTCGTAAAATATTTTGCCTTCGAACTTTACTAAAATTGTCTAAACGTGACTATACCAAGATGAAAATGAGAATTGTTGTCTGTTTTTAAGGAAAAAGGAGTAAAAATGCGAATTAAAGATGCATGATCATACTTACAAATATTCATTTAAACTGAATAAAAAATATTTATTCGTTTTCCATACATAAAAAATTATATTCATACTCTCGTATTCATATTCATGATTAATTCATTTATTCGAATATTGGATATTGGCTACACTAGTTTTGATAGCATCAGTAGCTAGAAAACTGTTAGACGTGGAGAATTGAAAAATTTTGATTAATGAGGTTTGCTATAATAGCAGAAACAAATGATGAATCCATTACTCTTTAGAGCCAATGTAATCCAAGATTTTATTGACGCAGGGAATAAACAATAGTGACTTATCTTCTATACACAAATAGGGTCGGTTTCTCTTACCTCTCGCACTGTCGCAGTGTCCACGAGGCGATGATCCACAGGGAGACCATGAAGACTAGCAGCACCGTGCCCGGGCAGATAGTCATCAGGGTCTTGAGGACGAACCTGGTGTTAAAGTTGATGCGATTCAAGGCCCCTATGCTTCGCGACGACGCGTCCGTGAAGAGTTTCGAGTGTAGCAGCATCACCCGGCAGATGAGGTAGAGCCTGAGGAACATCGGTAGCGAGAGAGTGACGTCGTACGGCACCCACTTGGAGCCGATGTCGCCGTTCTTGTTCGCTAGCTTAGTCGTCCACAGGAAGTAGTACTCGCCCGGGATCGGGTGGATCGCGCAAATCGCCAGCTCCACCGAGATTTGCGCGATCCGCTGCCAGGTCATCGCGATCCGCCAGTCGTCCGCGCAGTTATCGATCATGAACAACTGTCGCCCGATAAAAGAAAATGGACAGATAACAAGAGATAACACTCTCACAACCGGAACGTGTCTGTCTAATGTCGCCTGAAGTTTTGTGTGCTTAAATCGGAGAAATTTTTTTTCCTTAGAAATACACCCAAGCAGAACAAACAGTCATGATGATATCAAAATAATAATAAAAAAAAAACGTTAGATTCTTTAGGTTTCAACGATAATAAAAAGATAAAAATTCGGGCGCTGCGATTAGTGCACTAAATATTTATTAAAAAGATAAATTTCACATGTATTGAAATTAATGTTTGGCATTTGATCATATAACAAAAGAAGATACATATCAGTTATTTTTTTGCCATTACCAATGCATGCAAAAATAAATACAACAGTCATACATAAATTGTATCGTTAAATTGTTGTGCAATCTGTCTATAAAATTTTTTTCGGTCAAACTCTACTCCATAACAAGTCAGGGAATATTTATCTCATAACTAGTTAGACGACTGGATAGTAAAAAAGTTAAGCCTTCAAGATGCAAACGTATGTGTTCAAATATTAATATATCAAAAAAATTTGGCAATCCTCCACGATGGGAAAAAAGGATATACATTGAGAAAAATTGATAGGTACATATATAATCATTTATTGTGATATGTGACTAATAAAAACCTTTTTACTTTTTCATTTAACAACTATATTGTTCTAATTTTCAAATAACAAAAAATTGTGTTGTAATCAAAATTTGATTAGATTAATCAAATTTTTATTAAAACAACGCAATTTTTAAATAAAAAAGTAAGAAAGTTTTTTTGTTAGCCGCATATCAACAAAATAAATGGTTATACATACCAAAACATTTCTCTGAGTGGTATAATATTTACTTAAAAAGAAAAAAACAATGGTCAAAGTGGCTAGAACACAGTTAAAAATCAAAGAACGAAACTGAGCAGTAGACATGACGGTTACACGTCTCAGTAAAAACAGTTTTTACTGAGATATATAACCGTCATGTTTACACGTTTCGTTCACAATTTTTTGGAGTGTTTTGGACACTTCGACTGTTTTTTCTTTTTTAAGTAATTATTTTACGCCCTTTTTTCACGACGCGGAGAACTACTAGTTTTTTAATATTTGAACATATTTGTTTGTGATTTTGAGGACTCAATTTTTTTATCGTCCAACTGGTGGGATGAATATTCGATCCCTATCTTGTTATGAAAGTTTGGCCGCAAGAAATTTCGTAGACGGATTGCACAACAATTTTATTAATGACTATTGTTTCTATTTTTATAGAAATGCTGATGATGGCTAGAAAGCAACTAAAACGTACGTTCTTTTATTATATAACCAAAACATTAGTTTTAATACACGTGAAATTAAATTTTTAATTAATTATTTAACCCACTAATTACAGCATCAATTTCTAGCCCCAATTTTAATTTTTGTATTGTTTTTATTGACTTCAAAATGATTATAAAAGGTCACTTTTTGATTCATTTTAATGTATCATGTTGACATAATTTGTTTGCTCTGCTGAATTATTAAAAGTAATAATCTATAAATTATTACTTAATCTATAAATTATTACTTAAAACATTATTTCTGTATTCAAATATTTAAATAATCCCAAGAATTATTCGGAGGAATATTTGCTTTTGTAATAATATTTCTAATATTATTCTCGATGAATTTAAATACTTGAATATTACTTCGATAATTATTCCGAGGAATATTTAATCAAGAGACGCTTTTATAATGATTATTTTACATGTTCTTCTTTACGTTGAAGGTCTCGGGTATTTACTTTCTTTTTATTGAATATTCCGATAAGCTTTCGTCGACAAATCTCACGATTAATATGTAATACGACTAATTGAAACATATTATTAACTGTTCAGTTACTCGTCGAAGCTAAATATTGAAAAATGTCTATTAAACCTGCCTATCTCGCACAATTGTTGGTTGAGCGGACAGATAAATGAATAAATTAATGCTCAACCCTTCAATATTATCATACGCATATTCAAAGCGATTTTTCGATACGTCGATTGCGCGAAATTGCCAATCGAGACAAATGAGCCCATGTATTCCAGATACGAGAGCTCGCTCTTTGAGCCTCCAGCCCGATTAATATGAATTCCAGCCGCTTTGCCCTGACTTGATTAAAACGCCGCGCCACGTACTCATTGTTTATCGCCGTTTATCTCGTGCGAGAGAACATGTTGTAACCGTACACACGCCACCGCCATTCCAGTAACAAATCATCCTTAACTCTGTAACGATCCTGTCAGATCTAAACAGATCGTGTTAAAGGACCCTACACACTACAAACACACGTATCATTCGAGGCACGTAATACGTGATTTGTATCGTGTTGTGATAAGGATTTTTGATTTCGTGGGTCTTCGACGCCTCGGACTTTTTTTTTCATTTTCATATTACTCATTTTCTTATTCGGAAAGATTTTCACGAATATAAACGCACATTTCCATGTACCATTTGTAATTTTTTACTCAACAATATAACTCTAATATAATACATATGTTATATGATACACGTGTTATGTTACAATTATAATGTTGAATAGGAAATACAACAGGCATGTTATATGTAACTTGATGTTTACTGCGATTCATTATTTTTTATTTTTTTTTTATATTAGACTTGCGCACAACATAAATAAACAGTAATATTATATTAATATTATAATTTCCCATTGAATGATATAAATTTAATATAAAATATGTTAGTATAACAGTTGTATTGTCGAGAATGAAATCATAAATTCATATAATATTTTCATCATAAATAATCTAGAAAATAATTTCTAAAATATTATAGTACTTGAGAAACATGAGAATGATATGCAAATCCAACCTGACTTCATTAATTACTTATGTATTACGCGATATCAGATTACTATCGGAACACTATGCGGGAGGTCATTAGGACTTGAAGCATCATAAATCATCCCTTAAGTTTCCCCCGCTCTAACGTGTCGATTAGAACCACACGATTTTAAATTTCACCGCTTCGACAATAGAGTTGTTCCACTCTGAGGATCTCCAAGATCCTCGGGATATGATACATCCATCACGAGACGTGGAGATCTTTTATATTTTAGCGATATCTCATCCGCGTGATACATCGTAGATACTTTGCAGCCCGTATCTCTCAGCTAGTGCTGAGGCCATGGAAGATGCGACCCGCCGACGTCCTGAATAGATTAGTATAATGCAGTGGGAGTCCATTTATCCGGTGGAATAATTCGGAAGATACGAAGATTGTCGCGCAACATGAAAAAGTGAAAAAAAAACTCACTGTGCACCGTGAAACCGTAAAAGATGGGATGTGCAACACAAAGACGGTTGACGATAGCAAAAATGCAAACTGCCGGATGCGCGCTGCGTGTATTTGAGGGTCTAACTGTAGGGTCGGCTTGATCACTGATTTATGGACCCATGAATCTATAGTAATGTCGCACCTTCTAAACTTCACGTTATCTGAGCGGCTGCAGAACCGTGGATACCCTATAACGAGCTTTGAAGTAAGAGGTTATATAGTATTACAGGATTCTGCGATGAGGACAAAGATACACAGAATATTAATAACGAATTTCGTGGAACTGAATAAACGTTCGTTAAACTTGCAATTCTTTTTTGTTTTATCAAATTTCGTCGGCATACAGAGAGAACGATTTTTTTTTTGCTAAAATATCTAAAAATTTAATACAGATCTGAAAATAATTTTATTCATTGTTAATTTATAATGTCAAATTTAATCTAATATCACTACTCCTATTTAGTGTATCGTCATTTTATACTAATACAATAATTAAATTTGACGCTATATTATGGTGTCAAATTGACACTATATTTTAAATTTAACCAAATATAGATTTAACAATATTTGGACCTTCAAAATAATTATGTGTATGAGAACGCTTAAGCATCGATGATAATGTTGCAAAGATTTTTAATATTCTAGTAACATATTCAAAATAATTATATAGGATGCTCAGTATCATGATGGTTGTTGGAATATTAAAACTTTTTGCAGCTTTGCTCATCATGTTTGAGTTTTCTGCGTAATTAGTTTTATGGTCCAGTAAAAAAATTATTTTAACATCTGTATTTATATATAATATTAAAATTTTTACATATTTCAGTAAAATCATTCTTTCCGTATATCTATAAAATATGAAGAAAAATACATATACATATTTATATATATATATATATATATATATATATATATTATATATACGAGTATATACGGAAAGAATTTTCTCTCAAAATGTACTCTGAAAATATGGTAGTTGTGGTATAATATAATATTTCAAAGATTTTTATCATGCACTTCAGTAAAATTAATCAAACTTATTTTATATTTTATTGAAGTTTTATTAATGAATAAGAGAAATTTACAATTTTTCGAAATACAATGTTATTCGATGACTACTATATGTGTGAAGGAGCACGGCAGTGTCTCATGCCATATCTTATCGTCAAGACACTACCGTGTCTCCATTTTCAGAGTAAATTTTAAGAGAAAATTCTTTCTGTGTATACACACACACACACACACACACACACACACACACATACACGCGTGTACATATATACATATATATGATATTACAAAAAAATTCTAGTGAAAATGAACAATCAGAAAATTCTGATCACATATTAATAAAAAATTCTGGTTATTTCAACTAAAATTATAATAATTCGATCAAAAAATTATGATTAGTCCATTTTCAATTGAAATTCCAAATAATGCACAGAAAAAGGAAAAAAAAACGTTTATTTATTGAGCGCTTTGGGACAATTCCTCTCAAGCGCAGAAACTGTCTTACAAATTAGAACTAATAACGTATAGAATTTGTCTAAATCAAAAACATGAAATAAAATAAAGTAGAAAATAAAAATAAAAATAAACATTGAAATTACGAGAGAAAGGGAGAGAAAGAGAGCGAGAGGGGAGGGGGTGGAAGACGATCAGAAATCTGTGCAGGCGACATGATCGGAACGACGTTTCCCGAGGGAAACCTCCCTTCGTTTCGCAGTGCCAGGTGAATCCCGGCAAATCTGCGCATGCAAATCGTTGATGAACGACAATCAACAGGTGCCGAAAGGTCAGTAGACTATTAGGCTCCAAGCCAGCCGTTGTTGCCGAAAGATTGCGTGAGTCAGCTTGATGTATCCGGGCTGATCATGAAGTTGTAAACTCTGTTTTACTCTCATTATTTGCAATTACGGACACCAATAGATTCCTAGTTCTAAATTATTATAAAACAAATTAGGTTTTATATGATATAAACTATAAATAATTTCATCCCTGAACTTAATTGCATAACTATGTTCATAGCAGGTGATAACATAAATGGTGAAAATAACAAATATGAAATTTATTTTACATGTTCATGTTTTATTTGAATTATTTAGTCGCGATCGATATATTGACACTAGTCAACAGACAACGATTTGAAGTTTTTCCTTAAAGAGAAATCGACACGTTCCAAATATTTATTATGAGATTGAGAGGTAACCCATATATAAAATAATTTTTTCTTTAAATGACATGCCATTCTCATCTACATAACAAATTATGTATGAATCTATTATGTAATGGATATGCACTGAACTTTATTGAACTTGAGCTTTCTGAATGATTTCCTTTTTATGGGGAAAAAAAAGCAGAAATGCGAGAGACTTGCTTCGGTCCCGAAATGTCACCACATTGATTCTCCTCGAATTGCAGAGACACGGCAATATCGGAGCCACAATATATCGCGAAATTGCATCGCGTAACGACTACGAGCCTGACGAAAGCGTTTTTCCAGCACATTGAGCCAAAATTATCCGTTTTGAGATACGTGAGGAATGTTGGTAGCTATCGTCTTTCTTTTTGTTCACGTTGCGACTGGCTTCGACATTCCCCAGAAACACACTCGTGATAGATCCTGATTTGCCACGTTTAAAATTAATCTGTTTTCTTAAAATTGGCATGAAACAACAATGTGAGCTTGCTATAACATAAACCATTCACATCGACACATTAAAATCTATTTTTTATTCATAACAAATTCATAAATATTTTTTTTCTCAAAAGTCTAATTAATATATATATTATACGTATCTATATAAAAGAAAAAAATATAAATATTTCAATTTTGCATTTGCATTGCAAAATTATAAGTCTGCCAAAATAGAAGAAGAATTTAAATTCTGTGCGTAATTTATATCTTTATATTCTATAAATTAAATTTGTATCAATAACTTCGAAAGTCTATCCATTGAAAGGATAGACGCGCATAAAAAAGTTGCTGAAAAATCTTCGGAAAATCTCTTTCTGAAACATGAAACGACTCGCATTGCTTTTCTTCAAGGTTTTTAAAATTCTATACTCTCGCACTAACGTGAAGTTTATGTTTATACAAAACCACTCGTTCGAAACTGCTCGAGAAATCGAATATCTAAGTCACACATCCACTTTCTTGCAAAATACCCGATGAATAACGGGTGTCTTACGGTGATTTTGAAAGACGGTCAATATTTGAGTTGACGCTTAAACGTTCGAGCCAATCCAAGCTTTGCACGATTTTGCGAAGTTCGCTTCGGTGCCAGCCATAGATATCTCATTAAAACGAGTTCCAACCTGGTCGGAAGTGAACCGAGAGCTTAGCAAAAAGACTCCTTTCTTGCCGGATATAGTAATGAAAAGGTTTTCCTTTACCCCTGTCATTATTCTCTGATGTCATTATTACGTTAGATTATCTTTTAATTCGACATAACGAATCGAAAATTTTTTCTCGCCTTACGTTTTCAAAATATTACATGTACATTGTTAAAAATAAAATGTTAATTTTAAATTAAAAACATATAGTGGACTTTCTGAGACATGTAAAAATATTAAAATTAATATTTGTTAATTTTAACATTTTTTTCATGTCTCAAAAGTCCATTATATGTTTTTAAGTTAAAATTAACATTTTATTTTTAACAGTGTATTCTGTGTATAATATGAAAAAATATATATATTATATACGTATAAATATAAGTAATAATACATTTAGACAAAAACACAGTAATATAATAACTATAAAGATGACAGCTATAGAAGTTCTATATATAGATATTAATTTACGCACACATAATCGATCATTTTGTATAATCATTGCAGCTATAAAATAACTTATTACATATGTATATATATATATATATATATGTATATATATATATATAAATAAAATAAAACTTGTCATTTTTATTGTTGCCATTATATTTTTTTCTGAGAATGTATAAATATATAATAAACATAATATAATAAATATATAATATAATATTTATACACATATTTATATTTTATATTTAATATAATATAATTTATATTTTATATCTAATTTATATTTTATAATATGCTTATAACGTCATGCAGTAAAATATAACGACTAGAACGTTTGCAATGTTTTCTGTGTTACGAAGCGTAACAAGTTGAAATTTTTATTTTAAAACGACAATAAAAAGGCAATTTATCTGCAGTTTACGTGATAAAAATTTCCCGTTAGTAGAATTGACAAAAATGAATATTCCGTAATAAACAGCAGTTTTCTTGGCGAGTATCCCATTATTTTCAAGTCGCTTAAGTTTGTGAGACGTTTTTTTATTGATTGAAAAGGATAGTTTATACATTTATTCATATCACTTCGTAAATATATTGTCGCTCACTCAGAATTCACAGTTCAATGATTTAAAGACAGAGGTCCCGGATAACGCATAAATAATCGGCGATCGATGACGTCGCGTCATGCATCAAATAGATAAAATTTGCACGACGTAATTGGCCTTTTATTAGCGCCGCATTAACACTCGCATATCTGAAATCGTGTTCGCGATGGCGTTTCGATTAGCTCCGCGTTGCATCGATTTATCCGCGATTTTGGCCGGACCGGCATGATGGTTGTACCGTTTAAATTCCATAATCACTCGGGCGTAATGTCGCGCTCGGCCTCCGAAACGCAAAATCCGATTCACCGCTGCGAATTACGCCTCCCAATTCCGGATTTATTTTATTCCCAATTATCTCTAGCCATTTAGAGTCGCCAGTAATTTATATCTACGCTTCTAGTCATTTATAAAAGTATTATAAATAATAGAAAAAATTCTTTAGTATAAAAAGATTTTAATAATAATAATGTGCACGCGAAACACCTTTTAGTTCTTTTCTTTCAATTCCAGAAATTTATTTTATTTCCGATTATTTGTAGTTATTTAGAGTCGCCGGTAATTTATATTTATGCTTTAGCGATTTGTATGTATGAGCAAGTTATATTGTATGAATATATACATATAATAATAATAATCCTTTAGCGTAAAAATATTATAATAGAATCAAGTAACAATAATGCGCAAGCATTTTTTAACGAACATTCGATACATAAATTTAAAAAGACAGGAAAACGTATTGTCCATCTTTCGATTCTTTCAAGCTCAATTTTGTTGAAAAAGGGACAATTGTGCGAATAAAGGACCAATAACGATGATAACAACTTATATATCTCCTCAACAGTTGGAAGAGGTGCGACCCTATTTTCTGTTTAAACGACATTTCGTTTCTTTCTTTATTTTATTCAAATATTCACTTATTATATCATAAGAAATGTATCATACATACCTGAACTTCTAAGGCATGGTAAGCAAATATGAGGCCAAGCAGTATCACAGTAGACACAGAGATCAGGGTTTTCAGTGCTGTCGAGAAAAACGAGGCCTGAAACATAAAACATTTTTGTACATAAATATATGCAAAATAATAAAAAAGATATTTTAATTCTATATATTTATTTATTTTCATGTAACATTTATTTCTATATTTACAATTAATCATACGAATAAAAATATTTTACAAGACAACTGTTGATTCTTATATAAAATATGAAGATATTTCTTTTATTAATTTAAAAAATAAAAATTTGCATAAATTTCTACAGTAGAAATATGTGTTTAAAAATTTATGGTATTTTCTGTCAATTGAGATAAATGATCGTTACTTTTAATGTTTTACCATTAAATTATAGATTAATAAAGAGAGCTCAAAGGCATCAGTAAATTAATTATTAAGCTTCAACAATTAACCGTAGAAATATCAAACTTCAGTTTTATGGTTGATTGCTCTCTTCTTAGATGAAATAATGAAATATGCATACAACTTTGTAAAATTGCTTGTTGCCACATCGTAAAAGTCAAGTACGGGGCTTCTAACAACGGCGTTCGATTTACGACTTGACCAGCAAAGGGGCAAACATCTTTAATGATCATAAAAAGGATCGCCGTAAAAAAAACATTTTAGAAAAAAATTGAATATTTTCGTCCTACAAATATCCTAGAGAGAAACTCGGAATATTACAATAAAATATATTGCTTTAAATGCGCTTTAAATTGCTATGTATACACTGTTACAAATTCTTACAGTATTTCGAGCGCCATTTATCCTTTTAACCTCGACGGAAATGTATTACGTATAAAAAACAGGACAATAAACATCAAAATACTGAATAAAGGCATCGCAATTAATTAGCTAATTTTGGGACATTTTAAATACCTATATTTTTTCGTAAATTATATTATAAAAAAAATCAATACTTCTTTGCTAGATATTAAGAAAAACTGGGATCGGTAGAGAGTTAATTTTCAAAAAGCTTGTAACTCAATCAGGATATGGCAGAGTATTGGACCTGTCTCATCAACTCTGATTAACTTAATTAATTAAATTTCAAAATTTTTAATTTTGCTAACTGCAAAATTGAAAACATAATTTCCTGGCACTGTAAAGAAACCAGGAACAATTAAATAATGATTATTATTGCCGCATTCGTATGGAACTAAAAAGTAAAATTAATTGTTTTAATTGTTTTAATGCCACATATCATTCTTTATAGTTACCAGAAATTTATGTTTTCAGTTTTACAGTTAACGATACTACAATTTAATCGACTGACCAAGTTAATTGGAGTTGATGAGACTGGTTTATTCTCTTCTTTTAACTATATTGCTAGTACACAATAATATTAAATTGCATGTAAAATAGTTTGGCGCCATGTATATTATTTACGAGTTTTAAATAAAGTTGGCGAGTAAATTTCTCTTATCCCCTTTTTGGTTTTTAATCAGTTTTTGACATTATTAATAGCAATTCCTTATAATCATAGAAAATGGTATACGAGTTAATTTTTTCTGAAGTTAGTTAATCATTATTGTAACAAAGATAGCAAATAAAATCGCTTTTGTAAAAAATGAAGGATATGATTGATCAAAATGAGCTGAGATTAGGAGATTAGACAGTCAATTTTAGTTTCTTTGAATTGATACGATTGTCCCGAAAACTTTCTTGTTATAGTATTTTGAGTAACGTATTTTAGGATACCCTACTACATATTTAATTTCTCAATAAAGTATACAACTAGGAACTTACAAGTTGTTCAGAAATTGAATAAATAATAATCAAAAAGATTAATTTCAACGTATAAATAAACTTCCTTCTTCTACATTTCCAACAGAAGAAAGTAACATTACGTACAAGAAATCACTCTGAACAAAATCAAGAGGAAAATAAAAATACTCTTGGAGTATTTTCTCGTGTCACCAATCGTGTCGACTTTTTCGTCGTCACATCCGGATAAGGGTGTGAAGAAATTATGATATCGCGTTAAAATTCCAGCGTGACGTATCACGCGTCTTATAAATCTCACAACCTTTTTGAATTTATCGTGGTTTTCTGACATTGCTAAAATTTAAAGTACAATATGATATAAAAGGCTAATAAGAGTCAGAAAATATAAAAAAAATCTCCATTATTCGTTTAACATAAATATAATTAAAAATAGATATAACAAACAAGAATTGCAGAAAATAGAAAAATTAAATAAAATAAATTAAAACGCTACAGAATACAATACTAGTTTAGAAGTACAATACATGTTTCGACTTATATTTAGGCCCTCTTCAGATGTACAAAAAATGTTTTAAAAATTTTTTAGTTTTAATAACTTATATACATAACGTTTTTATGTTTCTTTATGTTCTCATTAGACAACGAGAAATTTTCGCAATCGGACAACCAATCGCTTGACGAGCAATTTTCTCTGTTTTAACATCTAATCATCTAATTATGTAACGAAATAGTCGCTTTCATCTTAACATTAAGAGTTTTGTTATTTTAAGTTTTTAACCCAAAATTTAAGAAAGTTAATTCCTGACGAGGTACATCGCGTTTTTAGGTTTCGTTAATAGTGGTGGCATGTTATTTCCAGCCTCTCGAGAGTCACATAGCGTAATTTCCGCATATGCATCGTCGGATGCACTCACTTTGTCTGCCTACACCACATAACGTAATCTCGCGATACACAACGACGGGCAAGTCTAAGCTCATCTGAGATGTTTGCCCAAGTTTAAAGTCTACAGTTCGTCGCTCCTTTCATCTAGCAGTTCTTTGACCAAAACTCATTCGAAACTCGTTTTAGTCCAATATAAAGTATCTCAGTAACTAAGGCTTGATTAAAATTCGCTTGAAGCGAGACCCAGTCGAAAATGATTGGAAAACAAATTATTGCAGATAATTTCTCAGCGTGAGACGAAATCTTCACGAGTTACATCTCTGTGTGTTACAAATTTGTTAAATTTGAGCTGAAACGTACGATCTATTTTTATGTTGACTTATTATTCATGTTGACTTATTATTTTATATAATATAATTCTCTCTCTCTCTCTCTCTCTCGCCTGCGCTAAATGCTACTAATCCTGTTTTCATTTAATTTTGATAATTTGTGATTGGGAAACTGTGTTGGGATAACTGTCATTCTCGTTAATGCCTAGGATCTGTAATGAGGAGATAGCTGTTCAGAGAGCTCTAATGCTTCTTGCATGGTTACATACATGTATAGTTTACTCAGTGTTGGCATGAGAGCGATTTACGAGATTTTCGATGAATTGTAGATCGCAATAACGAGCTGCTTTCCGGAAGAACGATGACAATAAGCTCACTGGCTGGGCAAAGCCTCTTCTCGCTATGTAACATGGAAAGGGATTAAGGGTTCGCAAGAAACGTAGGGAGCCAGTCTAAACGTTAGTTGCTCTTTGCGAAATTTCCTTTACGAATCTCAGAAACAATACTCGTTTGCGAAATGTATTTAAACTTAAATGATCTTATTATGAGCCACTCGCGTAATCACGTTTGAAACATCAAAGGGATTATTCTCATTATGAGAGAGAGTAGATTTAGTACGCTTTAGTAAGTAGAATAAAAGAGATCTAAAGAACAGGTATAAACATGTAAATGTTTCGTCACGTATAGTTTAAGTTATAAAGTTTCGCTATAAAATTTCGTTATAAAATTTCGCATTATCGTTCATGCTGGAATTTTGTTTTATTCGACTCAAAAAAGGTAACATTTTTTCTGACACTCACGGAATTTTCACGTCTGTCAAATAAAATTTCTACGCGCTAGAAATGGATTAAGGGATTAGGAATAAAGTACATAAGTACAAAATTTATTTTCGCCCAGGTTTTTCAAGAGTTGACTGTACGATGTTCGCATGGATATACGAAATTGCTATCGCGAAATTATGCAGCGTGTAAACCATAACAAACCGTAACAAGCTGTAAAATTTGTGCGCATGGCCGTTGTTCCCGGAGCTTTTATTTGATGCCGTACGTTTGCATTTCAGGTAAATAATTATTACTGCGTGCGTTTTAGTCGAGATAGTTACGAGGAAGAACTTTCCTTCTTGCCGAAACTAGTTTGTCGGGAATTATCCGACGAGTATTCACGAAATATTGCTCACATTAAAATATTTAATCTTGAAAGGAATACTTCAGACAGAATACTATCAGACAGAATAATTGTAACACAAATTAGAAATAAATACAACGGGCATCATTCCAACTTTTCCTCTTTGTAAGACAGAATAAAAGTTAGAAGGAAGTTTAACGTTTTATCTGTCAAGCTGATTTCGAACTCCGATTGAGCTCTGAATGATCCAACGTCGAGAAATGCGCTACTATTTATAAAATATGCAGAGTCAGATGACAAAATAAATTATGTAAAAAATAAATATAAATAAATGAAAAATATAAAAAGTAACTGGGTAACTCATATGAAAAATATATAGACGAAAGTCATCGGTACTATTTCCTAAAGAGACACCCCTGATTTATTAATACTGACAGAAACATGATCTCTTTCAATAAGCAGAGAAATAAAAATTCAAGTTTACATATTTGTGGCTTATTTCTATACAAAATCAGTTAAAAATAAATTCTAGAAAGTAAAATATTCTTATGATTTCCTTTGTAAAGTACATTGTTTAAATATAAAAATGATTATATTATTAGTAATATCATATCGTTTTCATGTTTGTTTCCTGAATCAATTCTATTTATGTTTTTTCTTTCTTTTTTTCATAATATGATTTTAAATATAAAATCGGGGTATATTTATCTGTAAAATTGACCATAAATTATAGTGTCAAATAACCTTACTGGAGTTAAAAGCATGTATTTATGAAAGAAAACTCTTTAAAATGAAACTGTTGACTTACATGTTTGCGTCTTACAAAGCAGCATAAAGTATGCACATAAATGAATGAAAAACATTTTATGCAGAAATAAAAAGATTCTAGAAAATTATACATACATTCACTTGCAGGTATTTTGTACAGATGATCTGTAAAAAAAAAGAATAGAAATATGTAACATTAATGTTACTGTGTTTTG